AGTTTGAAATGGCAAAAATGCTCTTAGGGTTTTGTTTTAATTACGCAACCTTGCCATCGCATTTTTAGTAATTACCAAACTACCCTTCCACCCCGTTTCTGAAACAAAACGAGAAACCAAAAATGCCTACTTGAGGGGGTTTCGAACGAGAGCGGATCCCATGACTAGGGGGGTCCTTAGTCACTTGACTAAGCCCCTCCTAGCCATTAGATCTGGACACTTCAATCCAATAGTTATAAAGTGGGAAGGGCTATTTAATTAATGACAGGGGTAGTTTGGGTATTATGAAAAATTACGAAGTATACAAACCGGATTTAATCAGTACAAATCATACAAACATACGAACAATACAAACTAGAGCGACAAAACATACAAACAGATTCACAAACATTACAAACGTATGAACTGTACAAACAATACAAACTAGATCGACAAAAAATACAAACCATACAAAAAGAAAAAACAACCGGGTTGACTTTGGATGCTTCATCCCTATATAGAGGGGCTCCTTCCCAAAGTCAACCCGGGTGTTTTTTAGACATACAAAACAATGAACATGGTGGACAAAAATGACAAACTAGACCGACAATCCATACGAACTGAAAAAACACCCGGGTTGACTTTGGAGGCTTCATCCCTATATAGAGAAGTTTCATCCAAAAGTCAACCAGGTTGTTTTTTAGACATAAAAAACATTACAAACATGGTTGACAAAAATAACAAAGTTTACAAACATTACAAAATATGTCAACAAACATCACAAATCTCTCTCTCTCTGGGGAATGGAATAATGGCGCCAGGGGGAACTCTCTCTCTGGGGAATGGAAATAATGGTGCCAGGGGGAATGGGATAATGGCTACGGGTAATTCACCGGAGGCGGCGCGGGGAGGCGACGCAAAGGGACGGGACGAAGCAATTTTTTTTCTTTTATAATTAAAAGTTGAAAATAAACATGGAATGACTACATTACCCTTCATTAAATTGGACTAATAGGAGCCCTTGGATTTTAATGAGGTTGAGTGGCTGAGATTCACTTAGCCATATGACTAAGGGGACCCCCTTAGTCACCTGATCTCAGCCTGTTTCGAACCCTTGTTCTAGAAGGCGAACGCCCCCTTGGGTAACAACTTAGACAGTTGGGCTGCCAATAGGGATGGCAACTTTGTCCATACCCATAGGTTTCTTACTATCCAACCCAATTGGGTTGGGTATGAAATCCAAATAGATGGATATGGGTAGAGTTTGATGGGTTTGTACCCATACCCATTTACTTTGGGTTGAGTTGGGTTTATATCAAATGGATTTGGGTTTGTACCCATGCCCAAATACAAATTACAGTTTGGTACCCAAACTTAATAGACATGCATATTTAGTACCTAAATTTAATTTTTTTTGCATATAAGTCCTCAAAATATCGATAGAAAATTACGTTTTGGTACCTAAATTTTTTTGGTCTTACATTTTGGTACCTAAACTTTTCAAGTTTTGCAAATAGGTCCAATTTTTGCATGTGTAGTTAAAACACCCTCAAGTAAATGGATATCCTATTCCAACCCATACCCATTTAGATTATGAAAGCCCCAAACCCAAACCCATCTATAAACCCCCAAATCCATAGCACTTCACCCATACCCAACCCATTATCAATGGGTCTACTTGGGTTTGGGTATAATTACCCATGGGTGGGTAATTTGCCATCCCTAGCTGCCAACCCATTATGCATTAATTACACCATCCCGCTTAATTTTATTTGTTTAAAGTCCTTAATACGAAATGTAGAATGCGGTTTAAGTTTATCTCTTTTTTTTTTCAATACGTCACAATACTTCCTAATAACTAAAATACTTGCATTTATTGTCATAACCTCATAACAATCTAAATGAATTTTTATTAACAAAATTATAATACGAAAATCACGATCAGTGGAACGTGATTACAATTAAATTGTCAAAGTTCAAACGAACTATGTGGACTTTGATCCCGTTTTACGGGTACGTAGGCAACCGATAAGGTTCGAGTCCAACTAATCAATTAACTTTATCCTTTACATCAGTGGGCGTACAATTAAATTACAATTAATACGATTTAATTTCTTTAATGGTCAAGTGGGACCCTAAAATTACAAAAATATTGCTCAAAGTACACCCAATTCATATAAAACTTATCAACTTAAATAGTACCGATTGAGGGCGTCGTGGGTGTGATTTCACTTCCCCACACGTAACCGTACTCCCGAACCCAAATCTCTTAACCGCAGACCATATCTCGGTTCTGACCCTAAGGTTAGAGCCGACCGAAGAGTGTTCGATCCACTCCAAGTAAGATCGATGGCGACTCCCAAAAATGCCAACGCGACGACATCGGACCCTGAAGGGACGGTTGCGACAACAGGCAAGAGCTCCAGTTCACGGTCTTAGTGATCGTGAACTCGCCTGGCGTCACTAACCTCTGAGAATGCTCTGGACTCCTTACGATTTACGGTTTTTGCTTCCAGTTCACGTTCTTAGAAGACCGTGAACTCCCAAGGGAAACCGTGAACTGGCCTTTTTCACTTCTTTTACTGGTCTTCACTCCTTTTCTTCCAACTTTCGACTCCTGGGGCTAGTTTCACCTGTTAGATCCTGAAATACGTTAAAACACAAGAAATCTAGCCTAAAACCACCCTTTTAGGAGCACAAATGCCACAAATGCCCAAGAAAAACGGGGATAAAATGCGTACAATTAGGCCCGAATCAATAATATGTACCTTGTGGTCGTTCCAAACATCCCTTTAACGATGATTAGTTTGGTCGTATAAAACAGTCGGATCAATCGGTCCTTGATCAACATAATATCTTCGGCTGTAGATATCAACATCCTCCGCAACCTACGATAGCATAACAACAACATAAATCAATTAGTATATAGATTAAATAAAATCATTACAACAACAACAAATTTAGGTAAAATAAGTACATACCGCTTGATAGTCATCATAGTAAATACCCTCCTCTTCGAAAATATCGGCCATTTTTTAGGAACCAGACAGGGATTCTACTGGTTTTGAATGAAAATCCATAGAAAAGTTTTTTTTATGGCAGATCGAATTTAGCCGCAATCAACAAACCACTATTTCCAAGGTTTTTTGGTGGAGAGGGGGATGGGTAGAGTGATAAACTTGGAGAGAGAGAGAGAGAGGAGATTGGTTTTGGTGTGAAGAAAATGAGAGGAAGGGGGGTATTTATAGTGTATGAACCGCTTGGTGGGGGGCAATTTGATAATTTTCCTCCACCAGAAATCGCGCACTCGGGGAACAGTTAGAGGAGGGGCGACGCGGATCGCTCTGCTGGAAGGAGGTTAGCCGGCGGATCGCCTCCCAATCGCACGGTGCATGGACCGCCACGTGGAGAAGCGGTTTCCCGGCTGCCCTAGCATGAACCACCTCTTCCGAGTGCGGTTTGAAGGAGAACCGCCCCTCGGGGTGCTGTTTTCGATTAATGGTGGTAGTTTTGTAAATTTTATTGGGTTGGGTGGTAGTTTTGTAAAAGAATTTAACGATGGTAGTTTGGGAAAAAATCCCAATGTGGGTATGGATGACAATTTCGACCTGTTTTGGGCCGGGGCGGGCATGGGTACCTCTCATCGACCCGACCTGCCCAGACCCGCCCCATTCTTGACCCGTTCTTGCCTAAATATATGTAATCTTAGTCAAATTACTTAGGAATTTTCTCTTATTACCTCATATTTTAGCTATAATAAAGTTGTAATTAAGTGAAAATCTCAATTTCTCCAATAATTTAACTACATTTTATCGTATTATGGTTTCTTTCTTGATTTTTTAATGAAAATAACGAATATTTCTAATGTTTTCCACATAAACTACATACCCATTGGGTCGACCTGCCCCCGACCCGCGCCCCATGATAAATTACCTGACTTGTACCCGACCTACCACGGGGCCAGTGGCGGATACATGGGTCTTTAGGGGTGTCCCTGGACACCCCTAAAATTTGGGAAAACGATTATCCAACCCCCGGTAGTAGTTTCGTATTGATAAAAAAAATTATAATTGGTAATCCGGGACACCCTTAAATTTTGAAAAACGATTATCCTGTCATCGGTAGTAGTTTGCGTATGATTAAAAATATATAAGTAGTACTCTGTGTTATTCAAACCTAGGACACTACTATTATTAAACATATTCTCTAGGTTGCAACTCATTTGTTGTTTTATTTTAAACACTATGTTATAGTAATAACACTATTCTTTATTCCCAATTATTTTCAAAACCTAACAATTAAACTCATTTGAACTATCCTTAATTTGAATTGATTTTATAGGTATAGTGCAAGAGTTGAAAGAGTCTTTCAAGTTTGAGTTACATCAGGAACAATGTTAGAAATTGAATATGTAATCAGTTCGAGAATTATTGTCTAATATGGTATATTTGCACTAATCAGATATTTTTTTATTTTTTTATTTATGAATTATTTAATTAAATTTAATTTTTGGAAGAGGACACCCCTATAAAAATTTTCTGAATCCGCCACTGCACGGGGCGGGTATGGATATGGTGATACTCGCTCCGGACCTGCCCCATTGTCATTCCTAAATGTGGGATCCAACCTTTCCACCAAATAAGTAGCTGGAACTTTCTACCCATAGCCATATATGCAATTTAAAATAACTCCTAAATGTGGGATCCAACCTTTCCACCAAATAAGTAGCTGGAACTTTCTACCCATAGCCATATATGCAATTTAAAATAACTTAGGTTACATACAATTTAGACATATAATCGCTTGGACGGTCAAAGGACACTATTTATTAGGTGCAGATTGTACATGGTGGAAATTCTATCGCTTGGATGTAAACCATTTAATATGGATCGCTTGCTTTGAAAGCGATGAAATGTCCATCACTTCTGTGTAGAGCAATGAAGAGTTGATCGTGTTACTCTAAAATGTTGAACGTTGTACCCTACCACCCTATAGCGATCATTGACAGACCATTTTTCTCAGCAACGATCAAGCATCAATTGAGTTCATTTTTCTCCAACGCTTATAAAACTCATCGGGGCAAGGACCAAACCGAATTACCTTCGATACGATGTGATCCACTCTAAACACCGATTTGGTCCCATATAGTCCAATACGACCAATCGGTTGCATTAAGGGTTTCCAAAGATACTCGTAGCGAAATATCATCAATAATCTGACTGCAACCATTGGTTATCGTTAATAATTGTCTTCTCACTTCAAGTTCAAACGGAACGGATCGCCCCTGAAAAAGTTCCCCAATGCTGCAAATGTCAAAACAACATATTCTCTATAGTTGTGCTTCATACATGCTCGAAAGAGAATCAACATTCTCAACACTGAAATCGAGTTCAAATGTTGGTCCAACCACATACTAATAGTCTTCCTTTCCATGCCAAATCAAGTTGATACCTTCTCTGCCCTCGTAAAATATCAAGGAGGTCATGAACATCCATCCCTACAAGGCAAAAATATTGAATTGAGTGACAAGCTCTGCTGCGATCAGAATGATCTATTACGCAAACATGTTCGAAGGAGTTTTAAACCAAAAAAAATCACACTCAAATATCCAATTAGTTGCCCTATCCGCATACAACATGTGTCACATATCTGGCAGTTAACCCCAATAACTGAGTTAGTTTTCATATATCGTCTACAAGCAAAGCACATAAGCTTCCCCTAAGCAATGAGAAAGTATCAACAAAAAGTACCTGAACATGTCTACCCAGAAACAGCATATGTTGAAAACATGCCTTCTACATCGCTATATGCCCGCCCATGCTATATACTCCAACATTGCTTCTGCGACTAAATCAAGTGCTTTACTTAAACCAGCTGTCTTCTTTTTACGTAGTGGCTCTTCTGACTCTTGTGTACGGTAGCCCTTCAAAGACACTGCAGCTGTGTACCCGCCACCTTTCATCGTAAACCCAAACAACCAAATTATATACACATACTGGTATGACTTTGGGCTGTGAATTTAAGACTCTTTCACTCACAGGGTTGTAATTCGGCAAGGTAACATGGTGCCGGCAAGCCTTTCATCAAGCAAAGTTCTGCCAACGCCTGCAAAGCAGTCAGCCCACCATCAAAATCAACATTAGAGGCAGCCATTGTAGATGTTTGAATAAGATTTGGTTGGGGTAAGAACTTACATCATATGATGATAAGGAGCGATCAATTCCAAGATTCTCCAGCATTTTATTCATCCGGCTTTCATGGCGTGCCTTAGAGTCTCTTTTTTTCCTGGTCAACAGTAACATAACATGTAAAAAGTGGCAAGCAAGGTGCTCGCTTCAAAGAAAGACAGAGAATATGGGTGCATGTATGATACATACTTCATTGCAATCTTCGCCGTATGAGGCAGCACAACGAGGGTATCTAAGTAGATGACAGCAAAATCATAGGCGGGAGCATCTGGGGCAGGGCACCTAAACCTGTTCTCCTTGGTGTCACAGATAACAAGGTTGTGGTCCGTGTGCAATAGAATCCTGTTTGTATCTGAAATATATACCGCTCTAGTTGATTTGCAGTTGAGCACATCTGTCTTTACTGTGAACGTCTTCACCCATTCCGCTGATGAAGGTTTCATCAGCCAACCCACACAAAAACCGTCACCGTAACAAAAGAGACCAACGCTTTCACCCACGGGCCTTAATGTCCAGTACTCCATATTCTCATTAAAACGATTTGGCAGATGCGTGATGTTGAATTTCTCCGTAGAAAGGTTGAATGAGACAATGATTTTTTCAGAATCCATTCGGAAGAAAAGACACCCATCAACAAAAGTTCCAACCTCGTTGCTTACTTTTATGCCGTAATCAAAACCATCAATCACCCTCCAGGTGCAGGTCTTCAAATCAAAAACTCGAGCTATCACCTTAGATGCTTGTGGGCATAGTTGTAACACTTTGTAAACATCACGCTGACCATCATATCCAAAGCCAAATGGAATGTCTTCTCCACTTTTAGCTTCGAATTCCATGTCCCAGTGTCGGAATGAGAAAACATGACCCGAATTTGGACTCCGTATATGGACGGTATACATTCCAACAGAACACAACAGCCCATTTACCGATCCCACAATCCTGCTTTTGACAAAACACTCCGGAATTTCATCAAGCTCAACTTCGGTGTCCTCGAAAATTGAGTACAGCGAGCATGAACGCCCCTCTCCGTTGAAGCGAGAAGTTAACGAATTCTTGATCCTCCCAAATACCCTTTCAGCGTGACTGGGTTTCTGAGCCGATAGCTGCTGCTTCATGCATTTTAGATGGGCTTCGACGAAGTCCGGCATAGCAATCAGAGATCTCACCGACTCGGAAACGCGGCTCAATCCGACTAATTGAGTGCCGGGCATCCACAGAAGAATTTCTCGGCGCACGCCAGTATCAAGATTGACCTTCCGCCCGATCCCCAAGAAGGTAAGGATGAACTCGGCGCTCTTTCCCCTTAAGCGATCAACAATGAGCGATTTCAGCATGTTGAACAGAAAAGGGATGCCGAGGGAATGTACCGCCTTAGTTAGACCCCAGAGCTCGTCTGTGTTGAGCCCCTTCTTGTACTCCTCGAGGAATCCATTCATCTCGCTTTCGTCCGCAGCTCTCTCACGAAACTCCACCTGCTTGGCGCAAAATGCGATAATCGTGGCAAGATGCTGCTGAGAGACACTCTTGAGCGTTAAGACGTCGTCGAGCACCTTCTTGGACCATTTCTTGCAGGCGCTAAATTCCTTGGCAATGGCTTCGTTCACTTCGAAGCAGAAGCCGTTTGAGCACTTCAACTTGATGATCCTCCCGGCGGTTGCGGCGTCCTCGGCGTTTGACATGCCGGCGGTTCGATTGAAAATCAGGGCAAGGACGAGGCGAAGGGGAATAAGGGCAGCCCCTGAATTGATATCTCTTTAGGGTTTTCGCCTTTCGGGGTTTTATATCGGATGGTGGGAAAGAGTAAATGGAAAAAAAAAAAAAAGGTTAATAAATAAGTAAATAACTGATGTCAGTGATGTGCGGGGCCTGTATCCCTCTATATATATATACTAGTTTTCATTGCCCGCGCTCCGCGTCGGGATTTGAGCAAAATCAAGAAAACAAAACAAAATCAACAAAACAAAACTACTGCCTTTCATGTTTCATACTGTGTAATGTGCTAATGAGTGTATAAATACAAACATATTAAACATAAACATGATTGTCTACATCTTTTAGTTATTGATCTGATTTCCATCAATCAAATTTGTTCTACAAAGTCCATAACATGCTAGCTAAAGTCCAAAGTTAAACATGAACTCATCTACACATTTCAAGCTCCGGAATTTAAAACGACACGCAACGTTAAGTACATGGTGAGTACAAAAGAGAATGTGGCATTGTTGCAGAACACAAGCGGACAGTTGCATTTTATCGCTTGCATTCCGGTGGATATGAAATCATTAACAGTAGCATACTATAACCAAACCTAATTCTTAAAGCTAATACTGGAAAATAACATGTGGAGAGAGGAGAGTCACTGATTAAGTATCAAATGCTGATCACAAATCCTCAAACAAAAGAAATCACAATAGCATATATACATTGGTTTATGCGAGAATGCATAATGGAATATTAAACTCCAGATAGTAAGAGAATTCTAATCAGATGTACACAACAATATGTAACTTGCTCTTGAGTTCCTCTACCTCTGTACTATGTAATAAATATCAAGAAGAAAAGAGAAACCGCTTTACTATCACACAATCAACAATACTGTTGATGTTGCAGCCAGAGCTAATCTCCTGGACCTGATACTTTTTTCTTAGATTCAACGACCAACTCAACACACTGAAATCCCTCTTGATGATCTCAACGCCAAAACCTCCTCAGAAAAGAGACGAAACAGATCTGCAGAAAAAAGAGAGAGCAGGGAGCCATTCAGGAAAGATGATAAAACAAACTCAATAAGAGAGCGAGAATAAAAATAATCACCTTAAACCAAAGCGCAAATCAATGGATCTCGCCGATATCATCTCTTTGCCGGCCTCATTGAACATCAGTTCGTACTTGGTATTCACCTGCGCAAATACCACGGGGACCATGTAGATGCCAATGGTGAGAAACAACAGAACCAAGGAGGAAATCACAAATCCAGGAAGCAAAAAGAGATGAGAGAAAAGCAGAAAACAGAGAAAATGGATTTTAGAAGAGTTGAGAGAGATCTGTGATGACCAAGTGAGATAATAGGGCTCAATAAAGTAAAGGAAAAGACTGATGAAAGAAAAGATAAACGTGGAACTCTATCTACCACCCAATAGAAAGTAGTACCTCTCTTTTCAACTGCAAACTCAACAGAGACAGCTCCCAAGGCTCTCTAACTGTAAGAGAGATCTGTGATGACCAAGTGAGATAATAGGGCTCAATAAAGTAAAGGAAAAGACTGATGAAAGAAAAGATAAACGTGGAACTCTATCTACCACCCAATAGAAAGTAGTACCTCTCTTTTCAACTGCAAACTCAACAGAGACAGCTCCCAAGGCTCTCTAACTGTTTCAACTTTCAATGAGTGACCCCAGTCGCCTCACACCTCCAAAACTCTACCCTCTGATAAGCAGGTCAGTTTCTCCATCTCTGAAGACTGAAAAGCCCCCTGCCCACCCAGGCCCTCTGACACAACCGCCCGGAAATCGAAGGGGCCAAAGCTAACATCGGGAACACTGAGCCCACTTGTGGCCAACGTGATAGAGGATACCCAAGCAACTAATTCACGAAACCATAAGACCACCAGTTCCATCACAACCAAGCTATCCAACTCCATTCGATTTCCAATGAGGCCTCACCATAAACCCACCAACACCGTAGCCCAATCCGAGTCGAAACAGTTGTTATGAGTCTGCATGTACAGTAAAACGTCTCTTGGTGCACAGGAATTGCCTCTGCGGGGGGTTTTCTTTTTTCAATATATATACCTCTATATATATATATATATATATATACTAGGAATTAGCCCGCGCTCTGCCGCGGGGTACGTTGGATATAGGGGTGATAATCGGTTCGGTTACGATTTAACCGAACCGACAGGGCGGTTAACCGCAGTCAATTAGCAACCCAAACTCCCAACCGAAGCCGACACCGATACCCACGGTCGGTTATCCGACACCGAAACCGCAATCGTCGGTGCGGTTAGTCCGCAAACCGTGAAACCGCAAAAAGTGAATATAAATATATAATTGTCAATTTGGGGATTGAGATTTGAGGGCCTATTATTATTCCTCTCCCGCAAATCCTTCTCACTCTCCCTCTCCTTCTCAATCTGCGATCTCTACCTTCCCCAAATCCCTCTCTCTCTCTCCCCCTCCTCCTCTCTCTCTCTCTGACCATCTAAAGCCCCTCAATCTCCGATCTGGAAGGCAGGGAGACAACCGACGTTGACCTAGGAAGGGGAAGAAGGACATGGTAGCGGCGAATCTAGAGTCGGCGGCAGATGACAAAGAGAAAGAGTCGTCGAAGGTGGAGGCTTCGAATCTTTCCAGTTCTCGTCCACCTCCAAGGCTGAAGAAGGCAGGGACGACGGCGGCGATTTGCACTCAATCTTCACGGGCATCGACCCTCTTTTCCTTCGTTTGATGGGTCTCGATTGTCTCCACCTTCTAATCGACGGAGGCGACAACTTCGGCGGAGAATCAGAGTGAAATATTGTGTGGTGCATGTCTGATTGGGGCGCCGAGGTTGGGATTGGGGAGATTGGGATGCCGATGTCGAGATTGAAGGACGAGGTGGGAGGCCAGATATGGTAGAGGTCGAGAAGCTTCTGGATGGGGCGGAGCAGAGGGTGTGTCTTTAGCCTCTATTTCATTCGACGGTTACTTATCGGTGCACCGAGTTTTCTCGGTTAGCAACCGTCGGTCTCCGGTTATGGATATCGCCTGAAAATGGCAACCGACGCCGACACCGAACACAAATAATCGGTTTCGGTTGAACCGATTAACCGCGGTTTTCGGGGCGGTTTTCGGTTTAACCGAGTAACCGGCGACCGATTAACACCCCTACTTGGATATGTGTCGTTAGTGTTGATGGGATGTAGAACCGCGTGGTTTGCCAACCAACACTAAGCATTATCTTTGCTGCACCAAGAATGATGACATCGATGATTACATGACAATAGCAGCGCATGAAATGTACTGGGGATGGTACTTTTTGGCATATAGACAAATTTAAAAAATGAAAATTTATATCAATAAAAAGAAGATATAAGTACAAAGATGCAAGGTAAGAACACAAAACTGAGTTTCACAATTTAGCAGCTTAGCTAATCTGATGTTCTCTTCTAATAATCAAGTAAAATATTCGAAATCATAATGGTATGTTACAAAAGATCTGGGAAAACAGAGGGGGAAAAACCAACTTGCAACTCAACTTGCATACAACCTTAGAAGATCAACTCTCATGTCATACAGTGATATAACTAAGAAAGCTAACTTTATCACCAACTGCATACCATGCAGACGATTATCAAGCTCTCCATCCTAAAACTGCTATTCAGCATCTGGCGCTACATCTTTCTACTCTTCACCCTCGTCCCACACCAGCACAGCTTGCATACAACCTTATGTTAGATGAGGTTGGCCCCTGCTGCCATTCCAAACAGCTTCACCCAATATTGCACCAAAATCAATAATATGAATAACCACATACTTCTTTAATTAAATTGCAGATCACTAAACCTTTAGTCCTCAAGCATCCTCTTCAGGCCCCTTCCTTCAAGTCTAAACTCATACTCATCATATCAATTCATGTATAAACTACAGTGGACTAAGACAGCATAAAGAGTACTCTTGAGCACCCCAAATAACTCCACCACAAATAGAATCCAAAAGCAATTTATAAACCACTGCCACCAAATGAAAAGAATAACAAAAGCTCTACATGGTAAAACAAAAAAGAGGATAGCTTTGAGTGCACAAACATTTAATCTGAAGGTTCGGAACTCATAAAATTCCACATTCCTGCCTCTTAAGAACCACCCGCAGCATGGTCCCTTGTAAATCCATCAAACATTGTTATATAGGAGAATCAGTGAGAACTTAATAATCCTTTCAATCATGATCATCACCATTTATGCACTTGCCACATTGCCAGTTGCTCGCACCTTGCTATGTTTAAGGACAATTCAATTTTTCTTATCTACTAAGGCTATCTTCCAAACCAAAAGCAACTAAGTGGAAGCTAGGAGGAAGCACGCAACATGTAACAGAAGAAACGAAGGAAATTTTCCAGGTACAACATGAAGTCACACACCTGATAGTTGCAATAGATTCCAAAGACTGGATTGTACTATCAACTGAACGAATAACATGATTTGGCAAACGATAATCCGCAAGTAAAGGCAAACAGTAAGTGCTTCACCAATCTTTTTGTCTAATACTTAATGGCCAACAAATCTACACATCCACAGTTTCAAATGGTTTTCGTAGACTCACCAAGAAATCCCTACAAAAATCCATGGGGAATACTTACTGCATCATGAAAGCAAGCCTAGCTTGAGGTCTCTTACAGAGAGCATTAACCACTACACTGGCTCATATTTATGAGGCTCAACCCTGTAGTCCCGCAGGATCTCCGCTACTTCGTCGACTCCTCATCTTCCCTGCTAACAACATATAAAAACAAAGCATGCAATTCAAATTTCGATAGAATTTAGATTGAGAAAGAAGAGAATGATTGACCAAATACCTAGTCTTTAATATCATGGGTAATGGTCAGCTTCTCTCATCCCGTCAAATACCTAGCCAAAATCAATTCCACCTCGTAAATTTCAGAACCAATATTGTGCCTCTGATCTAGACAATGATGGGCAACGATGACGGGGAACGGTCCAACTGTGAATTATAGTGAAGGGATGAATAGTGGTTGTGGACGTCATTGGTTTTGGCAGTTCCAAACGTTCCTCTCAGTCAAGATGTAGAGCTTATCATACTTTCTATCTTTACGTCCCAGTAAAGGTGGGAAAACACCTTTAAAAAACAAAAACCCATCAAACAATACAGAATTTCAAATCCGTGAACCATCCAAACAATACTCAGCAAAAACATCTCAATAGGAACAGAGAAGAAATAATACCGGAAGCCAACATAGAAGCCCCCAATCCTCCTGACATTCTACACTGCGCCTTAAGACAGTAGGTAGAAACTTCTTCATCAACAATGATGCGACAATCCTCTGTAGGTTGCAAAACACCACTTAAATATGCAAAACCTCATCAAATACATCAAACACTCTAGTATGAGCAGCTATATCCCATAATTGAGTTCCAGTTTTTGTTTATACTGATGCTTTCAATCACAAAAACAGAAACTACTTATATATGAACTTAATTAAGGTCATTACATGATGATATCATAGTTGCCTTCTTTTCAATTCCTTTTTTTTCAACCATCACTGATTGCAAGGGAAGGAAAAGGAATCACCAATTAGATATCATGAAAACGAAAAGGCACAAAAATTGAGTTCGAGACCTCACCAGAACTCTGATTCCCCGTCGAGAATCTAGTTGCCATTTGTTATGGTTCTTCTTCTTCACCGTGGATAGACAGCCTGAAAACACAGATATCAAATAATTATCTCCCCATCAAACATATACAAAAGATGCTTCCCTCTTGTCGGCATACAAAAAATTTTTGCTCTTGTCAAGCTTGCGCCATCAAACTGTTTTACTGCCCATCAAACTGTCTAACTGATAAAAACTCTGCAAAACTCACGAATTTAAAGACTCTCACATAAACCCTAAATGCAAATCAAAACTAAGATTCTCGAATGGGCAGAAGCAATTATAGAGAGACGCTTAGTCTTCCTCCTTGCCTTCGTTCTCGGCGACGTTGAAGTATCTCAGCTCGTAAATGGAATGGTCCTTGTTGGAAGCAATCACACGAAGCCAATCCCTGACACTGTGCTTCTTAAAGTACTTCTTCGTCAACTACTTCAGGTACCGCTTGGAGAAGTTGGAATCGGAGGTAACAGTGATCTTGGACTTCTCGCGAGTGATGACGACTGCGTCGCCGAGAGCTTCGGCCTTGCCGCCGACCTTGATGCGCTCCTGGAGGAACTTCTCGAGTGAGGCGATGTCGCTGGTGAAGGTGACTCCCTTCTTCTTGCCCTTGGCGCCGGCGGCACCTCCTCTGCTCCGCGGCTCATTTTCGTTCCCTCTTTCGATTTCCCGCCGGCCCTGAGAAAAGCAGAGGAAATGAAAAAAGAGATTATAAAGAGATGAGACTCATGATAGATCCTAACGAAATGAGAGAGCATAGAGTCCATGCCTCTTCTTAGGAGCCAACGACTTCAGTTCCTTCTCCCAACCACAGTTCTGAATTCCAGATGTACATCCTTGGAGGGCATAAATCAAAACTTTCACCAGCAAGTGGGAGCATAACAAACCTGAAATTCAAAAACAGAGAATGGTGTTTAGAAACACACGAAATGCATGTAAGTTCACAGGTGAACAAATGGAAAAGTGAATCTGCGACCAAATAAATCAAATCGTAACACTATAAACCCTCAGGCTAGAGTCGAGAAGATATGAATCGGATCCATCGAGGAGAGAGAGAAGAACCTCGCTGATATCTCTGGCGGAGACGACGGTAACATTAGATCTGGAAGCGAAATAGAGGGATCAGGGAATCATTATCTGAAAAAAGATCTTGTGGAGCTTCTCTCCCTTAACGACCGGATTGGCCCTGGCGATCTGGTCTTTCCCCAGGCTTTTGAAATCGAACCCGCAGTTGTGCTTGTCCGTCTACCGGTGGCCGCCGCAGAACACCATCCCGCACCTACACTTGAACCCCGTCAACCCCACACGCTTCTTGCATTGGCTGCACCTGTTCGCCTGCATCGCCACCGCCGGAGCCACATCCTTCTTCTCCTCCACCAAGCCAACAACCTCCACGGCCGCCTCCGCACCTATCTGTGCTGGAGTCTCACCTCTTCTTTAGATGGCAGTTGCCCACCGGTCGCTCGGCAGGTAAAGGCGTAGAGAATCATAGCCTGATAACCATGGACTCCGGCGGTTACTTGCGATTAACCGGTGGTCCAAGTTCCTCCGGCCGATTCTAGCCGGTTCTTAGGCGGCTCTTCACATCCCAAAAGTTCAGAGAAAGTAGGTAGAGAAGAGAGAGAGATGAGGAAGATGGGGATCGTGTGAGAAGGAGAAAGGGGAAAGAATTTGCTCTCTCTCCCTAAACTTCGCTCAGTCTCCATCAGCAGCCTCCGCCGTACCCAGAGAGGGAAGAAGTCTGCGAGAAAAGACAGCCAGAGGGAGAAGAGGATCTCTAACCAGATCCGCGGGCAACGTGTTTTGCTTCGTAAATCATCTGCTCTCTCTCCCTAAACTTCGCGCAGTCTCCATCAGCAGCCTCCGCCGTACCCAGAGAGAGAAGAAGTCTGCGAGAAAAGACAGATCTCCCACCACTCAACGATCCCTACCCAGCAGAACACCCACAGAGTAACCGAAAAACCCTCGATCCGCGTGCCCGCTCGGGCCAAAGTCAAATATCGATCTCTGATGACCAACGCGCGTCGGGGCCACCAAACGACCCCAAAGAAGGGCAACCAGAAGGCAACGACCAGTCCCACCCCGACCGAGCCCCCAAACTCCGTCAGATCCCAATGAGGCCTCACCCAACTCCAGCCCACACGCCAGCCCACGCCAGTTTGAAACAGTAAATCTCAGTCACGTTGTACAGTAAAAGGTGTCTGCGTGTACAGTACACGGGCATGCGGCGGGTTTCTTTCTTTCAATTTATATCAAATCCATCTTACATATAGATATAACATATAACACTATACTCAAAGAATAACTCACACTTGAATTCAACCCACTATTGTAAAAATTTAACAGCACTTATCCCATTGCTATTTCTCAAAAGAACAACACTATTAGTTCTCTTGATTCTAATATATATTCACTGGAGAGAAAAACTCATCATTTTATTAAATTTATAATAATGAAAAGCCATAAGCCATAATCCTGATGCATTAAAAAGAATTGAATATCTTTTCAATAAAAAATCGTCCATCTTCCCGTATTCTTATTTTTTCCGCTACAATCGCCCTTCCCTTCCATTGTTTTATCCGCTGCCATTATTCTTCTTCTTCTGCCACTGGCATCGTCGATCCAATCAACCGTTCAATTTTTGTCCAGTACTCCTAGCCTCCTTAATCGCTTCATATCCCCATAACAACCTTAGGCGGCACCTCTGTTCCTCTGTCACGACGGCTAGCGGCGGATCCAGAACAGGGTAGAGCACTGGGCCGTAGTTGAAAAGAGGCAAATAGGGTTGGGCAGTATCCCGACAAAACCAAAAAACACACAAAAAAATACCTAAAATAAAAAATTTACACGTCCTATATTACATGTGGATCTAGAGGAGGGCTGGGTCGTGGCCCGGGGACGGCCCCCTGAATCTGTTGCTGAAGACGGCGTTGGCCGAAGCAAGTAGATTTTTGGAGGAGTCGTCATCGTCAGATTCAGAAGAACACAACTCAAATCTTCTTACTCTTCGATCCACCAGCGCATTCCAAAAACCCAGCCAAGATCAGGTTCGGACACAGTACCTGTTCTGGTCGGGCCAACCGTTGGGTATGCCGAGTTTTGACCGGGTTATTTCAGGTTTGACTATTTGACTCACTCCTACTGTCACTCTAAAAAATGGCCAAGTGTAACCACTTCCTAAAGCGTAGTATAGCGGGGTTTGGGTTTTAATGTCAACCCGGGTCCTAGATGTGATGACTACTTAGCGAATTCTTATTATCTAGCGGTGAAACTTTAGTGCACGTTCAAACAAGCAAACAAGTAAAGCAAGCAAGAAGGTTGTTTCAAGTCGAGAGAGGTCACCCGGATATGGTTCCCCCTAGACTGCAGTTAAGCCGGATTGCAATTTACCAAGTTCAGTTTTAATGATAGTTATACTGCGGGAGGTTATTAAGCAGTCTGAAGTCTCGACTAAAGGTCTCCAGACCCTCTCAATCTGAGTCCCCAGCGGGCGACTAACCTCCACCAGAGTAAACAGATTGAGGCCTAACGAACCAAACCTCTACTACCGAAGTAAATTCGGTACAGAATAGTGAATTGGCTCCTCGACTAAAGTCGCCAATTCACTACCTTCAATTAAGGGTGCTCTATCAACCTAGGCAGATATTCTCTTCTAGGTTAAAGCAGAAACAACAGGAATTTGATCAGGATTCATGCCATTCAATCATTCAAACCTCAATTGAATATAATCAAATCATAGAATCTGTACTTGGGTTCATACAATCAGACCTAACATACAATCTAGGGTTCTCCACACCCAGATGAATAAGAAAACTACTCCATATAGAGAGATGGAAAATCTAGCTCAGATGCGGAAACCATACTGTGAAGGATGATAATCTGCTTCTGGCGCTCAATCGGATCTTCTCCAATCTCAAGCTGGGCTCCAATGGTGATGAAGATCAAGCTAGGGCACTTGGGAACTCTGGTTCGTCACTTTCTCTCTCTAGGAATCGCTCTGTCTCTCTAAAACTCGGAACCCTTTCCTCTTTGGCTCAAATCTGCCTAAAAAGGTCGACCCTGGGCAAAACACGATCGAGGGCACGGCCGTGCTTTGGTTTTGCTCGCCCGTGTTTTGCTTTTCCATCAGTTCAGCTCTCGACAATAAAAACACTAGCGTGCCTGTTTGTGTACACGACCGTGTTTTGGTTTAGCCCAGCCCGTGCTTTGGCCCCAGCTCGACCGAATGACTTCCAAATGCCCCGAAACTCGTGCTTAGCCTTTCCTTCGGCGTCTGGAACCTGAAATATGACAAAGTAGCACAACGCGGCGTAAAACGGGCCAAAAATACACGACTACGCCCGGCAAACGGATGAGAACTAGGGGTGCAAACATGTGCAATTACATCGTTATCAAATTCCCCCACACTTAACCGTTTGCTTGTCCCCAAGCAAACCTGACTCAAACCAATGCAACTCTCCAGACCTCTATAGCAACAAACAACCCCGATCGTCGGTAGAGGATTTTCTAGATCATATAGCAGCTTACGAGGTCAACTGGTCTTCTAAGACGTTCCCTATCTCTCTCAATGCGAGTACTAGACTCAAGCCAGGATCATGAGAAAAAGTAGAAGTAAGACAATCAGTGCTTGGATAAAGGGACTCATGTCATTCTCAACCAAGGCCTCGTTGTACCGGGGTGCTCTTTTCACTTCATTTCACCGTTGGAACCCCTTTTTCACTTTCATTTTACTTTTTTTTCTTTTTCATTCACTTGGCGGGGGTTCCAACTGCAATCTCTTACACGGTCGACCCTTATTAGTCGAGCAAGAGCAATTTCTGTACATCTGGCGCTCGCCAGAGTACTTCTTTTAACTCCTTTTCCTCAACTCGTGTGGAGGGTCAATGAAATTATGGGGGTTCGGAAGCTATATCCGTGCCCTTAAAAACACATCCTCAAGTAGGCAAACCGTTCAACGGGTGGAAGTTTTACTTGTACTAGAGACAGCTTAGCTTCACCTTGTAGGAGTACCCCACTAAGGATCACTAAAATCTCTTCCACGATTTGGGGCAATGAACGGTGCCGCACACGTTGGGCTTACCCCATGTTTAAGATTTTGATGATTTTGACATGGAGGACCAACTGCATTTTTCATTTTCCACATGAACACCCTGTTTGATACATGAGTCCATAACACAATCCACATAGAGTCACCATTATCACATGAATTCAACGGTCCTAGCTCCACTAATTCACAAAATCAACTGGCACAACAGAGAGCTAGATAGGAAAAATCTTATACTTCAACATCCTCCATAGTGCTACACTACCTCCCTAGAATGCACATTACTATAGAGACTGTCAATTCAAAGCATACTGAGCAGGAAATTTGCAAGGAAACACGTACTTGGAGCCCTCAAATTTAAAAATTCGGACAGTGGACTAGGCTCCAAGCACACAAACGGATCTAATGCAGTCAAAAGAGAAACATCCCCCCACACTTAAGATCGACATTGCCCTCAATGGAGAAGAGGGAAAGATAAGGGGAACGATGTTACCGCTGTGCACGGACTACATGAGACTGGAAGTGGACTAGTCTGAGCGAAGAGGACTGGAGAGGGGACCAATCAGGGACAGAGCAGAGCTAAAGGGAACAGAAGAACTCAAACACAATATGTTAGGTCCAATGGTCAGCCCAATAATACATCATCCAAAATAAAAGAAAACAAACCAAAACCAAACCAGTTTACAATCCGACTCAAAACGAAAGAAATAAATGAAAAACGTGGTGGGGTTGCCTCCCCACAACCGCTTCTTTACCATCTTTTAGCTGGACGCCCATGGTGGATACTCAACGGGGGGCAGGAGCAGGTGCCTCCAAGAGCGGATCCACATCGCTCTTGAGGTACAACTTCATGTTAGGAGCAAATTTGTCATTAGCAAAACAAGTTTAGTGTTGATTATGGCTGGGTGTCTGAGAAATTGAGTGATCTTAGAATTGAGTTGACTTACTAATGATTTATGTTGACAAAGCCCTTCACAGGCAGGTTGGTTAACTTACTGTGCTCAATGTGGAGACTGACTTTGTGATGACAACATTTGGTAATGAGCATTCAGACTAATGAGTTGATTGAGATTGCAGGAAGAGAAGCTTACCTATTATGCAGATTATGCAAAGTCTGGATGAATAGGAAGTTAGCTTTGCATAGCTGTGCAAAAGCCAAAAGATCGTAGAAGAAAGGAAAGAAACATCAATACCGACAACTAATGAATCCTGCATCAATTCTGAGTCCCAACCAGTCACACTAGGTTCCTCTCAAACAACTTGGCAGTCAAGGAAGGCCATTCAACAGTCACATCAACAAGCGATCAGCTCATCATCAACAGGCTGGAAGGAAGAACTTTCCTTAGACGACAGACTCGCAAAT